AGCGAGTTGAGCTTTATATATGCCTTAATTGCTCTTTTTATACGTTAATCAATCTATGCGCTTCTGACATCTAACTCTGGGTCCAGATTATCATATAATATGAGCAATTTGAAGGCAATCGTGTTGTCTACAACTCATAACATTTTCATAATTTTCTCCCATATATAAAAGTTCATGGTAGTTCTCAAAGTTAACCAGATTATAGCTATTTCCCAATGATATTTATATCTAGTTGTTCCGCATCCCAGTATTATGATTATTTTGTGCACCTATAATTTTACTGGATTTTTCTCGTCTTCTGAATGATCGCCTTAAAGACATAACTTTTAAGATTTTTCAAGAGTGACCAAAATTCTTTACTAGATCTAGTTGTCGTGACTTCTTATTTTTCTATACTAATGAATCTCTTGCAATTCTGGCGTCAAGGACTATCGATAGATATATATGGTCCAATTTGGGGGATGTGTATGGGACCTAGTCACTCTTTTATGAAATATATTTATTTGGCGGATATGTTTGATTTATTTATGAACTTCTAGTTCAGTCTAATTAGTACGTGGATTTATTCTTTGAAGATCATTTCATTTCATACAATTTCTCGGCATTCCATTTAAATGTGATCTTGTCTCCCCCTAATGCCGTAAATCGATATTCATGCAGTCAATGTTGCAAAAAACATTAGGCGCCCCCTAGGCGGTAAGGGGGCGCCTAGGCGCCGATTTTTTTATTTTTTATTTTATTTTATTTTATTTTATTTTTTCAATTAAAATTTTTTAAAATTTAGTAATAAAACATAAGGTTTCCATAGTTATTTCTCAAAAACTATTTACGAAAGTGGTTGTAAAATTGTTGAAAAGATTGTTTAAATCATCTAAATACATAAAAAACTAAAATTAAGAGCTAAAGAAGCATTTTTTTTATGAAATTTTATGGACAACCGAGTCAAAAGTTATGCCTTCCCGAACTTGTCGCAATTTAAAACGCAAAATATATATATATATATTAAACCGCCGGTTCAGCCGGCTAGGCGGTTAGGCGGCCGCCTAGCCGGCCGGCCGCGGAGGAGGCCAATTCCGGCCTTCTTCGCGGCGGCGGTCGGGCGCTAATCGGCGCCTAGGCGCGATTTTTGCAACCATGCATGCAGTCGACGTATCCATTGTGTCTCTCTTAGGGGCTTTTAATATTTGAGACAACATATGAAGGTTTAGAGATATACTATGGTGGTTATATAATAGAATTGACTGCATTCATAAGAATAGAAACGCAAATTGGGAAATGTTTGATTTGAAACCACGTATTAGATGTAAATAAGGATATGCAATGCGTCAGAGTTTTAGAATTAAAGTAGCAGCATGAATACATGTCCCCAACAAGTATCCAACAACTTGGATTTTTTGAAAAATAAAAATGGTTTAGCAATAATTTGAACTCGAGTAATTAACTAAACCATTTGGTTATGGACATAAGGTTCTTGATGCTCCGCCTTAACGCTCAACGTCATATAGTAATAATTGTAAAAAAGAAAATCAATTTTTTTTCCTCTCACAACAGAAATCTTTCAAAGCCAAAATTTGGAATTCTTTTTTTTAAAAACCATAAAATTTTTCGACACCTTCGAACAAGATTTTTTTTTTTCTCAGCATGTATATTTTTCGAAAAATAATAAAACAATAAAAAAAAAAGGTGTCGAAAATTTTATTGATTTTGAAAAAAACAAAAAAAAAAAACGAAAATTTTACTTTGAAAGATTTCTGTTGTGAGAGAAAAAAAAAATTCAAAATTTTTGTTTTGTTTTGTTTTTTTTGGACAGTTCAAAGCATATTATATCATAGTGCATAAAAATATATCATACCAAACAATATCTTGCATATAATCCAATAATCATATCCACATATTCACAGAATACAAACATACAAGTATAGACAGTTTTAGCAATTTGGGATGATAAAAAAATTTAGCATACCGTTCACAGAAAAAGTATATTCGAAGCGTGCTGATAACGTGTTGTAAATTGATTCCTATTAGCTCGTAGCATTCTTCAGTAAAATGAATTATCATATAGACAACAGTAAAACAAGACAGATAAAGAAACAAGTAGAGGAGAAAGACAGAATTCTTATTCATTCGTCAGCATTATCCTTACAAGTGGTGTACAACATTATCCTTTATATAATAAAGCTATATGGTTTGAGAAATAATTAATGTTACAATTAATGCCACAACATCCTTTATTATTAAAAAAAAAAAAAAAAAAAAACACAACATTTAAAAAATAAAATAGCTATATATTATATAATCATATAAAAAATATACTTTTAAAAAAATAAAATAGCTATATATTATATAATCATATAAAAAATGTGTTCAATTAGAGTTTAAATTTACACATACAAAATTTGAAATTTGCTTTCCAAATGTAATTATCTTAGTTATTATTTGTATTGTGAAAATTATAATATAGATGAAATACAATTAAGAATAAAGCAATGTAATTATGTAAATTATCTTTATAAGTTTATTTGAATATGCACATAATTAGAGATTATATTAACCATACAAAATTTTAATTTTAATTTTAATTTTAATTTTAATTTTAATTTTGTATTCTATAAAAATAATAAATACTTGACCAGTGGAAGCTCAAAAATATTATTATATTAAATAATTTAAAATATTTTAGTTTTTCTATTTTTTTTATTTATATTTATAATAACATAATTTTTTTCCGTGCATCGCGCGGGTGAGTTACTAGTATATTATATATAATACAAAAGTAATAAGGGATACAATAATGATAAGAATAATGACAGACCATTACATCCATCCATTACACTAATAATGTCCACTTATATATATATATATATATATATATATATATATATATATATATATATATATATATATATATAACATTAACATTTTAAAATTTTTCAAATACGTTACATATTATAAATTAATATTAAATTAATCGAATCTACACCATTTATTTCAAAATTTGGCTACATCCCTATTATTTGATTTAATCAACCCAAAATCTATAAGTATATACAACCAACCCTACCACCATCTTCTCTCAAATGCCACCATATATAGACACCACCACCTTATCACGAAAGGATGAATAATGAATGAAGAGAAGTAGAGAAGAAAGAGAAACCAAACCAAAACCCCAAAAACTTTTTGCAAATCCTTTTTTTTTTTTTTTTTTTTTGAAAACATCCTTAGATCTACACTTCTACATGATTTTAAAATTTGAAGGCAACTTTTTAATAAAAGAATTTTTTGAGTACAAGGTGCTTAGCTTTTAATAAAAGAATTAATTAATTAGATTAATATATATTAATTATTCATTTTTATTGCCAAATACATGATAATTTTAATATAACTTGCACAAAAAAATCTATATTATTATTTTTTTGTCAACCCATGAGGTGTCCTGAGCGGCAAATTATATTGTGGACCGTGGTCCATAATGCATTGTGGTCCAGACATCAAATATGCATTGCAGTTTCATTTCAACACAACTACAGTATCATTTTGATATAACTACAGTTTCGCTGGACAATATACACTCAAATATGTGAAATTGTTATTCAGTTTCATTTTGTATACACTGCAGTTTCATTTCAACACAATTACAGTTTCATTTCAATTCAATTGCAGTTTCATTTGATAATATAATAAAAAATAATAGTGAGACTGTGTCAGTTTAGATACACTATAGTGTGCCGTTTTGGATCATGGTCCACAAAGCTTTGTGGACCGCGATCCACAATATAATTGCTTCGGTCCTGAGCATACCCTGATTGTAAGAATCACCTTTAAGCCCATACAATACTCAGACTAATCTATATTCTCATCGAGTCGGCCCAATTAATGAGCAAAGTGCTAGCCAGATTGATTTTTTTCATATGAGAGGTCATGAGATTGAGCCTCAGTGGAGGCGTTGTTGACTCTTTGTGCTTCATTAGGTTGAGAAAGTATGTTTGAACATATACTACAATGTAATAGGGCCAGTAGCATTCAAAAAAATAATATCCTAAAACTTGTGTCATAATAATAAAAATAAAAATAATAACCAAATATATATTTGACATCTTAATTAATATTTATTTTAAAAATATATATATTAAAAACTTTGCTTAAAGTTAGAAAACACTTTTAACTCTCACAAAATTTATTAAGGTTATTTTTATATAAACTCACATATACATACATTCATCACGTTCATGATTCACCCATTGACTGACTATTTAGGCATATATAATATATATATTAGCATTTTGTACGCGCGATGCGCGAAAACTTATGCCCAATATTAAAATATTTGTAAGTAACAAAATTTAAAAAATTAGTTAAAATTATGTTTTGTAATTTCTTAATGTGATGATACTTTTGAATTATCATATATTTGAATAATATAGTGATCAGAAAAAATAAATTATATTTTTATATAGTAATTTACAAATAATACTAAGCTAATACCCACATTATATGATATATTGATATGGATACACAAATAATATACATACATATTATATATATATATATATATATATATATATATATATATATATATATATATATAATTTAACATTCATATAAATATTTAATTAAAATATAATTTATAAATTAAATTAATTGTTATATGATAATTTTTTTTTTTGAAAACAAGTTATATGATAATATAATAAAATGATAATTAAAAATAGGAAAAAGATATGATAGATGTAGGTGTATGGTAAGATTGGTAGATATATTAAAAACTAACGGTGTTATAACGGTGTAAGGGTGATTTGTCCAATGCAAATGAATGTACAACAATTAAAGCAAAATGTATATATTTATTAGCATAGAAAAAAGGGACAAAAATCAAGGACATAACTTGTAATGACACTTATTATGTTTTTAGATATATAAGTAATATACAATATATATAGATATATAGATTTTTGGAAGCCCTAAAGAAATATATAGTTTTTGGAAAACCAAGTCAAAGATTGATCTTCCTAGCTAAACTGCTGCAGCCATTTATCCCACTTTCTCCTTATCTCTCTCCGATCAACTCTCTCCTTCAATTCAAACCGCCATTTATCCCAGGCCACTATCTCTCCTCCATTATATTCTTAGCTTTTTAACTCACACTTCCTCGCATCAAATTAAATCCCACATTGCATTATTTTATTATCCTTCTCAAGATCGATCGATCGAGCGAGCTCCCTTTTGCATAGTCCAAATCCAAAATGCATTCTTCTTTCTTCATCGGAGTTTCCAAACTTTTTCTGTGCTTCACCTTTTTCTCTTCCACCCATTTTTTCATGGCTGCTTCGAATGAGTTTGATGTCGCCGGCGAGAAGGGTTGGGTTATCCCTTCTGCGAAAGATGATCAGTTCTACAATGAATGGGCTTCCAAGAATAGGTTTACAGTTAATGACACCCTAAGTAAGTATTTTGGTCCTCATTCTTGTATATATTAAGGTTGTCTCGTCTTCTGCTTTTGTTTAGTTTAATTTCTTCTTTTGTTGTTGGATAACGAAGAAACCCCACGACCCTTCACCTTGTGATTCTAGCCAACAAAAAATCACAAAAAAATTAGCCTAGGTTACTAATAACTAACTAGCTTAAACCAAGGGGGCAAGGATTCAAACTCGTAGCCTTGTGGTTACAAGTGTGGATCTCTTGTCATTTTAGTTGGGTTTATCCCTAGTTTAATTTCTATTTTTGTTGGATGATAAGGGAATCTCATGATCCTTTCGGGCGTAGGTAAACTTTACTACCTTTGTGATTCTAGCCAACAAAGGATCACAAAGAATAAAACAGTCTTTGTTATTCATAGCTGACCGGCTCAAATTTAAGGGAGCAAGAATTCAAACTCGTGACCTTGTGGTTACAAGTGTGGATCTCATGTCATCTTAGTTGGATTTATCCCTAGTTTAATTTCTTCTTTTGTTTGATGACGAGGGAAACCCATAACCCTAGGGTAAGTAAACAAAACAAGTAGAACAGTCTTGGTTATTCATAGATGACTGGCTTAAATTAAGGGGACAAGAATTCAAACGCGTGACCTTGTGGTTACAAGTGTGGATCTCTTGTCATCTTAGTTGGGTTTATCCCTAGTTTAATTTCTTCTTTTGTTGGATGACGAGGGAAACCCATGACTCTTTTGGGTGTAGGTAAACTTTACTTTGTGATTCTAGCCAACAAAGGATCACAAGGAAGTAAAACAGTCTTGGTTATTCATAGCTGACCGGTTCAAACTAAGGGAACAAGAATTTAAACTCGTGGTATTATGGTTATAAGTGTGGATCTCTTGTCATCTTAGTTGGGTTTACCCCTAGTTTAATTTGTTCTTTGATTATGGTTTTACTTGGTTTCCGTTATATTGTTGTGCATGAAACATGTATGTAGAGTTTGAGTACCAGAAGGATTCAGTTATGGTGGTGAGCCAAGAGGAGTATGAGAAGTGCCGTTCGGATCATCCCATGTTCTTCTCCAACGCCGGCAAAACGGTATACAAGCTGGACCGGGCGGGCCTGTTCTATTTCATCAGCGGGGTTTCCGGCCACTGTGAGAGAGGGCTGAAGATGATCGTCAAGGTTTTGGAGTTAGAAACCCCACCTCCGTCAGATGATCAGACGCCCGGAAATTCCCCTCCGGCGACCGGCGGTGCAAGAAAGTTGGGAGCTCTTGACCACGATTCTCCGGCTCGGATGGCTTTCTTATTCATGTCACTCCTTGGGACCATTATCTTCATGTAATTCATTCTGGTTGGTTTATGTTTAGGAAATTGGATCCTCAAAATTTTTATATTACTGATTTTATTTAGTACTGATATTAGATTTTGTTAAAGCAGTCTTTAACAAGTAGGTTGGATTACAATACTACATAATATGTTTCTGATTTAATTGGAATGGGGATTTTGGTTTCTCTTTCACCATATGTCTTTGTTGGATATCATATTTTTCAATTGCATGTTGATCTGACAATAGCATCTATCTTTTTTTTTTTGGATGACGAGAGAAACCCCACAATTCTTTGATGAGGTGTAAATAAATCTCGTCTTGTAATTTTGGTTGACAAAGGAAGTAACCATAATTGATCGGCTCAAACTAAAGGGGCAAGAATTCAAATTCCTAACCTTGTGATTATAAGTGTGAATCTTTTGCTATTTTGGCTGAACTTACCTGATAGCTTCCATCTTATGATTAATATAAGTGATGCGAAAAATGAACAAAAATAATTAGAAAAAAGTATCAAATAGGCCAATAAACTTAGTTTGTAGAATTGAACCATCAAACGAAAAAGTGTGAGCAATTAAAACATTAAACCTGCAAAAAATGTGCAATTATCATTTTTTACTTGTTGCAAGCAACAAGTTAAATTGATGACTTGGCATTTAATATAATTAATTTTAAAATGTTAATGCTTACATGGATGATTTAGTGGCAATAGCATAAGTTATATAAAAATTTATTTTAATTATTATTTTAACAAATATTAAAAAAATAAAAATAAAAATAAAAATAAAAAACCTTCTTACTTTGTCTGATATGGACAAAGGGGAGGCAGCCATGGTTATCTCCTCCTTCCTCTGATTTGGATGAAGGGGAACCAGCCATGGTTGCCCTCTCTATAATGGACTTCAGATTTTTTTTATTTTTTAATTGAATAATTAAAAAATTTTCATGTGACATGTTAAATAAAAAATTTATCTGCAACTTATTATTTATTGCACACATTTTTAATGTTAAATGGTTTAATTACACATTATTTTTATTCAATGGTCTAATTACACAAACCATTTGGGGTCTATTTGACGCTTTTTTTAGATAATTATGAAAATTTTGAAAAAATGTTCCTTATTAGAAACATCCATCTTATGATTAATAAGTATAGTGAAAAATGAACAAAAATAATTATGAAAATTTTGAGAAAATATTCCTTATTAGAAACACATTCTCAAAAATAATTATGAAAATTTTGAGAAAATGTTCCTTATTAGAAGCATCCATCTTATAATTAACAAGTGTTGTGAAAAATGAACAAAAATAATTATGAAAATTTTGAGAAAATGTTCCTTACTAGAAACACATTCTCAAAGAAAGACAATAGTACAACAGAAAACTCAAAAAGAAAATACAATAATCTTTCTTGTAATTCTTAAAACCATAATAAATAAACAAACATAAACAGAGGCTAACAGTTGAAAGGTGAAATACTAAAATTGTTTTTTTTTTTTCCCTTTCCCTCTATATCCTGTAAACATGGTACAAAATGATGCCTTAGACGTTTTAGGAGCTCGATTTTCTACTCTTGGAACAAAATTGTAAAATGGTGCACAAAAAGGAATATTCTCATGTTAGCCATTGACACAGAAACTTTTTGCAGCTTCTTCATTAGACTTCACTAGTATCTTACAAATTGCCGCTGGTCATTCTCACCTTTATTCCCATAAGGATTGCTTTCACTGAACCCATTTCTTCTTTCGCTTTTGTGCTTCTTCCTAAACTTGGATGCGCTGCTGTCTATATTTAGATTTACTTTTGGAGGAGAAGAAAAACAGAAGGAAGCTGCAACAGCCTGCCAAAACACATGAAGATTTTACCGTAAATAAAGAAAAGCTACAACATAATTCTTCAACTAAATCTTTGTGGTCCTATGCATTAACTTTTGTGACGATAGTACGATACCAGTGGCTTAGTTCAAATAGAGTCGTGGCACAAAGTAAACAATTGAATACAAGCGTATTTTTGTTTAACGAGGAACCCCACAAGTATTTTGAGTGTGGGTAAACCTCATCTTGTGACTCTAGCCAGCAAAGGACCACAAGAAGGTAAACCAGCCAAAGTTATTCATAGCTGACCGGCTCAAACTCCAAGGGCTAAGGGTTCAAACTCGTTACCTTGTGGTTACAAGTGTGAGTCTCTTGCTATATCTTGGCTGGGGCTACCCCCAATATAAACGTATTTGGCATTACAGTTAAAAGAAAGGAGTACCTGCAAATCAAGCCGATGAACATTGAATATATCCTTCATGGAGTGTGAATTATATGCCAATATATAGGATCTGTAAGCCTCTCTAGCAGATTTATTCAGGTAATAATTATTAGAAACCAACTTCTCCTGCAGCAAAACCAAAATGCCATTTCATTCTGGTTAGCACTGTTCCACAAAGCAACCAAACAAAAAGTGCAAATCACTTGTCAAGGAAAACATTCAAAGCAGAATTACCAGGTGGGACTGCACATTGGCAAGCTTTCTGTCCTCAAACTCATACTGTTTTACCGGGACTTTCGCAGCCTGCCAAATAATAAGTGTACATAAAAACACTAAGATTAGAGAATCAATCAAACTCCACATGCATACAGAACAGTAAAAACTCATGCATTGCAAATATTAATGCTATATTCCTTTTTCAAATAGCCAACTATTTCTACTGAGCAATCTCCATAAAAATAAACACCTCATAAGTCATAACTTGTCCCAAGAAAATCAATACCTCAATAATTTTTTTCACAACATACAATCTCCATAAAAATAAACACCTCATAAGTCATAACTTGTCCAAGAAAACCAATACCTCAATAATTTTTTTTCCCAACATATAGCCTAGAAAAATTTACAAGTCACTTCCCCGCACTATCTGTAATGATTACTTTAAATAGTTCATCCTTAATAATACAACAGACCTTAAGATAGGCAAGAAATTTCAATTCCTCTGGAATCAGGAAGAGCAATGCATTTCCTTTTGCACCTTCCCCACGTGCTGTTCGACCAACTCTATGAATATATTCCTGTCATGGGCACACCAGTATAGTTAGAGCACATTCAATTGACTTCCAATCTTAAAGTAAATAACTGCTGAGTAGTGAGTACCTTAGGTTCATCTGGGGGGTCATATTGTATAATCCAGTCCTACAAAGGAAGAGAGATGAGAGTCAATACATGATAATTCTATTCATAAAATTAAGGTCTCTCAAACAGGAAAGAGGGATTACTTTTGAAGGATTTTATAGCAAATTTATAATGGCAATAACTTCCTACTCATAATAAATTAATCTAATTTTTGAAGGAAAGAATACCATTTAAATATATAATAATTGTTTTCCTCTTGTCCTCTATTTTAAGTCATTAACCCACTCTACAACCTCCTCTGCTTACTAATACTTATTAAAAATCTCTATCTTTTAGGGATTTCAAAATCACTGGCAACCAACAAAAATAAATATGATGACAATAAAGGTGAAGGAATATACCACAGACGGAATATCAAGTCCCCTTGCAGCAACATCAGTACATAACAATATGCCTTTTTCAGCTTTGCAGAAATCAAAGAAAGTAGTGGTCCGCTTCTGCTGCTTTTGCTTTCCATGAATATCAAAGCACTCAATTTGGATATACCCAAGAAGTTCCGAGTGGAACTTTACAGAGTTGCACGAAGAGAAGAAGACCATTATTTTCTTTGATAAGTTCCTCTTCAGGAAGGAATAAAGAAGGGTAAATCGCTTAGCACTTGGAATGACACAGTACCCTTGCTGCAGTCCTTCATTAGTGGCCTAAATTTCACAAAAACAAATAAATAAATGGAACCAAATGTCATAATAAAAGTTAAAACAAAAGCAGTACTACAGATGTACCCTCTTTCTTCCATCATCCACATCTATATAGATAGGAGTTGTCTGAAAAGACAAGCGAGCCAGATCCTCAACCTGTAAAGGGTCAACATTTTATCTAAGGTGAGCAATAACAATTGAATCTTGGAAATAGAAGGAAAAAAAAAAAGCATTTGCACAATAAAGTTATTATTGGTGTTTTTATATTATTAAAGTCATGAACTATATGTGGCAAATAATACCATGCAATCCATTTTTGGGATTCTTCTACTTAGCATGCTGTAAATTGTTATAACATTTAACTTACCATTGACAAGTTAAAAGACTCCAAGCTTTGTAACAAACATTAATTTTAACAATCATGTGATGCTGTGTTTAGGAAATCATAATTCCAACCAGTTACTAGAATATCTGCTTAACAGGATATCATTTTTCTTTTCATTGAAGGTAGTGATGCTTTTTTAAGTAGGCAAGAAAGGGGACAGCTGGTTCAGAATACCTTCTTAGTCTGTGTAGCTGAAAATAGAGCAGTTTGTCTACCCTGAAAGGCAAGTAGCAATTCTGTTACTTCAAAACAACTGGTGTAAAATATCATGTTTTGGTGATCAAAGAGTAATTTAAAGACAGCATCTGCCACTACACACAATGGATACCAAATATCAAGATTCAATAAGCAAAGGTAAACAATTGTCAAGTACAATAAAGATAGAAGTTCAAGATAACTTATCAAGACATACATAAGAAAATAAACTACAAAAGATTATCCATATCAGCTTAAACAGGTTATTTAGACCACTCACCATTCAACAAGTTTACATTTAAATATCAGTATAAAAATTGCTACCATCGAATATATAGTTATTCAATTGTTGCCTTACAACCAGAGTTTTTTTTTTTTCTAAATACCAAATGATTAAACACAAATATTCAACGATTTTCTAATTATAGTTCACTGTATTGCAAAACTATATCATCAGGATCGCCATAATTCAAACTTTAGCATCCAAGTGGAGTATTTTTGAATTAGAAATGATAAACACCAACGTAGAGAAAACTCAAATGGAAGTTTCTACAGCTTTAACAAAATATCATATGGAACAGACTCTTTAAACCCAGGAGTAAAGGTACAACTAAAACAGTTAAAGAATTCATAGTAACAAGTAATCAGTACCTCTTTTGGAAGAAGTCTCATTATTTGCTTCATTTCTTCTTCAAAATTTGCTTCTAATATCCTATCCGCTTCATCAATCATGAGGCACTGCAAATCCCATATAT